GACCGGGAAGAGATGCAATTCAGGGCTGGGCGAGGAGGAGAAAGGGTGATGAGGGGGAGGCTGGCAAGGCTGTGGCAAAGTCAAAATTCGAGGAGCCGAAAAATAGGAGGGGGAGGAAGAAGAGCTAAGTAGGAGCAAGGGGGGAAAGAGGCCTCAAAGCATGTCAGGGGCCAGGGAGGGGCATCACGGTAAAGATTCTGCAAGCTCAGGAGAACCAGAGGGTGACCCTCAAACATCTGGGAGGAAGGGGATCCGGAACCTGAGTAAAGGTAGAGGAGGAGGGAAGAATGGGGGCGGAGCACCCCAGGGCGGGGACCGAACTGGCTCCCAGAATCTGCAGCGCGTGGAGAGCGTAGGGGAGCGGAGGGCGGAGGCCTGGCAGCAGCGGGCGCCCGGAAGGGGGCGGGGGTCGCCGCGGGGCGAGGCTGGGGGGCAGCGCGCTCACCCGCAGGGCGGACAGGTCGATGTCGTCCAGGCTGCGGGCGGGGGCTGGGTCGCCCATGGCCTCCGCCGGGAACGGGGCCCCGGGGCCGCTCACGCTCCGGCTCGGTTATTCCGCTGCCGCCGTCGCCGCTTCTCCCCCATCGGGGGATCCCGGGGGCGGACTCCACCGCGCCTCCCGCGGAGAACCGGGAGGGGGAAGGCCGGCGGGAAGACCGACCCACCGACTGACAGGCGATATCGCCCCAGAGCCTGCAACCCGAGCCTCCCGACTCTCCCGCGCAGGCGCAGAATGGCCGAGCACCGGGGAGGGTGGAAGAGGGAACGTGACGCGAGCGCGCCGGGTTCCCCCTCCCCCTCGACGCCGACACCTGCGCGCAGGCGCAGGAGAGAGAGCGAAAGGCGCGCGCGAGGACTGAGCGACCGCGCGAGCCTAGCGTGAAAGAAGTGGGCGGTGGCCGGGACCGCCGGGGAGCGCGCCCACCAGCTGGTGCGCGTGCGCACACGCGTTTCCTTCCCTCCCCGTATTTTTTGCCCTTTCTCTCCCCCGTTTCCTTCTGATCTCTCCTTTGACGCCTTTCCTTCCCTTTCCCTCCTCTTTCGTGTGCCCAGCTGCCAATCAAGCCACCCACCGCTCTATTTGCGGGGGGAGGGGGGCGGGACCCAACACCCTCTATTACTAGGGGGGTTGTTATGGTAACTCCCCACGCGAGGGCTGGGTGGTCTCTAGATAGGATGGGCTGTCCACCCACCTAATTGCCATGGCAACAGTGGAGCCGCTGAGGGAGGGGCCTCTTCGTGAGAACTCGGCTGGAGAAACCACCTGGGGGATGGGGAGTGGAGAAGAGGACTGGCTGCCTCAGGAATGCCCCTGACCCCCTTCCCCGGCTGCAGTGGGGAGGGTTGAGAAGGGGATCTCAGATCTCAGGATAGGGAATCCTACCGCAGACCTTTGTCTCTGCACCTCTTGTTCTGTACATAGGAACTGTTTCAACAATTATTCATTGACTGATCCCTGGAGCTGTGCGAGGGGGAGGGGGTGGCAAAGGGAGGTGGAAGGGAGGAGAAGGGATCTATGTCCAGCCCCTTCAAATCTTGCTTGGGTCACCTCAGGTCTAGTCATGTTGGCGTAGCACCCCCAGCCATTAGCCTCACTGGAGGCTGGGTAATGCTATATAAAGAACAAGGAGTCATGTTCTGCCACTGACATGCTGTGTGACCTTGAACAAGTTGCTTTGCTTCTCTGGGCCTTTCTTTCATTGTGAATTTGAAAGAAAGAGAAGGCCGTTTGATCTTTGAGATCACTTCCAGCAATGATGGTATCTCCAAAAGACCCCACTGTCAGCCTTAATGTAAACATCACTTAGAAGAGTTTGAATGAAAAGTCCTTGGAAAGAGGCAGACATCCTCCTTTCTGGACCCTTCTCCTTTGCACATTCCGATGCACATCCAGTCTTGCTCCTCTCCCCCCCCCCCCCCCCGCCACGCCCAGTTTACCTTGCTGTTGTCCTTGTCCAAGCTATAATCATCACCTACCTCCAATACTCTTATTAGCCTCCTACTTGGTCTTCTTGACTGACCTCCTTAGGTCAATTCTCTATACTCAGAGTGCATGATTTTTCTAAAACTCAAATCTGATGTCACTCTTCTGTTTAAGATCTTTCACTAGCTCCCCACTGTCTTTGGAGCCTCAAGTGTGGCAACCATGATCCTTCAAGATTCTGCCTGCTTCTCCTGCCCTGTTTTTCAGTACTCTACCGTTCAACCTCACATATTCTAGCCATATGGAAATCCTCTACATGCAGTTCCCAGAACTCAAAAGACCCTCCTCAACCATTTCTTCTCCCCCAGAATATTCTGACCATGCCCATTCTCACTGACTTTTGCTTTGTCCTTCATGTCTAAATCACCTCCTCCATGAAGACTTCCTGAGACTGAGTTTGGCTCTTCTGTTTTAGCTACCTGGCTTCAACCCATAGTAACATTTAACACTTTGAATTGTAAATGTTGAATCTCCTTAAAGGCAAGAATTATGTCAGCCTTGTTCAACACAGGGCCTGGCACCCACTAGAGGTTCAGTAACATGCAAGTGAATGAAGGCCTCTGTGTCTGGGTAGGCACTGTGAAATACAGTAACTCCAGGACAAGAGCATGGGATAGTAGGAAAAAACACAGTGCTTTGTGCAAATCATTAATCTCTCAGGTTCAATTCTATCATCTGTAAAATAGAGATAATAACAGGAAGGTTAGGATAAAATAAAATTAGGTATGTGAAGCACTTGGTAGATTCAAGGTCCTCAGTAAATTTACCAATGCCTGACTCAGGCAGTGTTTAATAAAGACATACTGAATCAAAGAATGAGCAAATTAAGATCACAGAGGTAGGACAGATGGCCACCCAAACCTCAAGAGGCAGTCTAACCTGGGGGGTGGGGAGGATAGAGAAACAAGATTGGCCCTGTGCTGATAATTATTGAAGCTGCAGTATTGATGTGTGGGTACCTGAGGTTTCATCAGTCTATTCTCTACTTTTATGTATATATGAAATTGTCCATAATAACTTTAAAAGAGACAATGTGGTAGAGGAAGCCCTGGATCAGGCATCAAGGAAAGTTAAACTATTAAAAATAAGACAAATTTTAGGGCTTCCCTGGTGGCGCAGTGGTTGGGAATCCACCTGCCAGTTCAGGGGACACAGGTTCCTGCGCTCCGGGGCCCGTGCTCCGCAACGGGAGAGGCCGCCGCGATGGGAAACCTGCGCACCTCAGCTGGAGGAGGCCCGCGCACAGCGGGGAAGACCCAACGCAGCCAAAAATAAATAAATAGATAAAAATAAGACAAATTTTGGATCCCTGGGGGTTGGACATTTTGCACAGACCCAATCACCCTCAGGGCCTCCCACCCACCTTGGGAGGCTGGATTCATTCTCTTCACCCTGGGTCTAGAGGCAACTCTTCTGATTGCAGGCCCACTGCTTTTTTTCCCTACACTGTGCGGGCCTCCATTCAAGAAACTCCAGGACCAATGAGTGGGGAGCAGATAGACCAGCAGACAGTACGAAGCAGAAGCCCACCTCCCCCTGGCCCAGCCCTGGGGCAGCTGCTGCCTCCACTCCACTTGCAGTTAATGAGGTAATGGTCCCTTAGGGAAAGAGGCCCTGAGTGCTGACAATGAGGCTAATTAGCAGAATGCCAATTAGTACCTGGGGACTGGCTCTACATGGGAGGGGGAATTTCTTGTGTGGAAGTGGCTTCTTCAGAGGAACGGAGGGCTGGACTCAAAGGAGAGGATGGGAGCAAGGCCACAGTATCCCCTCTCTCCACGCCATCATCCACAAGCACACTCCTCCTCCAGGAAGTCCTCCTAAACTGCTCACTCTATTCCCCTCTGTTTCTTCCTGCTCCTGTGGTCAATTCTGAGATTGGGGAGTGAGGCTGGGGGAACAAAGGGCAAGATCCAGGACTGCGCTAAACTTTTTTCTAATTGCAAAATATTTCAGATATGCAAAAAGATATGGAAAAAAATATATAAAGTTCATATCCCACCACCCAGCTTAAGAAATAAAAGTCACCAATTCACTCAAAGAGCTCTCTCTGTATACCCCTGTTATCTTATCCTTTTCTCTCCACCTGCCGTGGGAGGTAACCCTCCTCAGTCCAGTGTGAACTACATTCTCTTGTAGACTACACCATCTATTTTCTCTCTTCCCTCTGGAGCAGTGCCAACCAATTGAACTCTGTGCAATGACGGAAATGGTCTGTACCTGCACCGTCCAATATGCTAGACACGAGTAGCTCCTGAGCACTTGAAACATGGCTGCTGCGAGTGAGGAACTAAATCTTTACCTATTTCTAATTGTAATTAATTTAAATGTAAATAGCCAAATGTGGCTGGTGGCTACTGTACTGAACACTGAAGCTCCAGGACATACGTGCCTGTCCCACGAGGGTGGGGACTTTGTTGTACTCACTGCTGTGAGTTTAGAATGGTGTCTGGCAAAGAGCAGGTACTCAATAAACATCTAAGTCAATGACTGAATCTTTACAGCAAGCCAGTTATTAAGTATTATTCCCATTTCCCAGTTGGGATCACCGAGGCCCAGAGAAGTGATGTGACTTGAGAAGGTCACCAAGGTAGTAAGTGACAAGTCCAGGATTTGGGCCCAGTTCTTCCTGACCTCAAGCTTTATACCCTTATCTACTCCCAGGGGCTTCGCTAAGCCTCTCCCCTTGCAGTCACTTGAGGAACAAGAGGCAGCCCCTCTGGGCCCTTCTTTGGGCGCCTCCCTCACCTGAAGCTGCACCATCAGCTCCACTGTCCTCCAGGAGTCCTGGTTTGACCCCGCCCTTCTTTTACCCAGGCATCCCTGTGTGAACACACCTGGTCTTCCCAGCACCTACTGACGGAGCTCCCGAAGCCACAGACGAGCGGAGCGGAGCTGAAGTCACAGAAAGAAGAAACCAGTGGTGTGGAGAGAGGATGAAGGGGCCTGTGCTGCTGTGTGTAGGCCTGGTGGGGCAGCTGAGACAAGCACTCAGTTCAGCCAAGGAAGCCGCAAGGACCTTTTCTAGGCTTTTATTTATGAAACGCTTATTGAACTGATACAGAGTTAGTGCCTGTCATCAGCTGGTGGGGGGGGTTAGTGTGCATCCCCCCACCCCCCGTCCCCTCCCCACCATGGGCACTGAAGCCGGGAGTGGCTCCATCCTTCCCTCCACCTTGGCAGTAATGAACCGGGAAAGGCCCTGGGGCAGGGAGGGCGTTCAAGGGCAGGAAGACGAAGGGAGAGATGGGAAGGCCTAGGGCAGAATCTGGTCCTCCTGGAGTAGGAGGCTGGCCCCAGGCATCCTGGCAGGTGTTTTGCTTCTCCTTTGTAGCAGTGGTTTGAACTGGGCAGCGAGGAGGATGAACTTCTCTGGACCCTCTCCTGCCTCCCCAGCCCGGGCTTGAGAGTGTCCTCTTGGGCTACTTCTCAAGAAAGGGTCCTCTGTGACTTCTCTAGTTCCCTCCGGGGATGCCCGCCTCCCCCAGGTCTCAAAGGCACTGCCCTCGGTCCTCAGGGTGAGGGGGCAGGGAGCCAGATGAGGTAGAGCCCAGCGGCTGGTGACCTATCCCGGGCTGGAGCCGCAGCTATGTCCACACTTCTAGGGGTATCACGCCCTCCTTGCTCCCCAGGGGGGGCAGCAAAGACTCATCCTCCAGGAACTTGAGGGGGAAGTGGACCAGGTGGCCCTGGACCTGGGTGAGTTCAGACCGGGCCAAGGGAGGGCTGACCGTGGCCAGCGGCTCCACGGCCACATACTCCCGGAGTGCCCGCAGGGAGCGAATGGCGTTGGACGGCAGGCAGCGGAAGATCTGTGGGCGAGAGGCATGGAAGCCAATAAGGCTTGGGGAGACTGCCCAAGAGTCCAAGCCCAACTAGGCTAGATGCCCTCATGCCCACCATATCCCTCTACACTGACCCTGAGCCACTGAATCCCATGATGTCCCCAGACCCTCATCCTCTTATGAGGATGGCTGTGCGGGGGCTCCTCTCTATTCCACCCTAGACAGGATAATCCATGAACTTCCCCCTGCCAGCACCCCTGCCCACCCCCCTTGCCCACCTGCTCATAGATATTGGCATTGCTCTCAGCTGTGTCTTGCCACGACTGGAAGAAGTCATCACAGATAGGGTCTCGGAGATCCAGGTCCGGCCGGGCATCTGCCCCGAGAATCACGCTGCGGGAGAAAGGGGTCCCAGCAGGGCCAGATTAAGATCCTTTGAAAGCCTGAATACCAGAAAATTATAATGTGCCTACCCAGGTATTTCAAAATAGAAGCAATGTTAAACAGTACAATAAGTGTAAACGAGTCCAACAGAGCTTTAATTTGTCTCTACTTTGGTGACTACTTTAATGCCTTAAAAGATATACCAAATTACTTTTGAAATATTTGTTTCTCATTTTTTCGGTATCCCTGCTTTGCCGGTACCTTAAACTGGATGAGTCTGCCTCTTGGGAAATCCAGCACTACCTCTAAGCAATGCTCACACTTGCTCAAAAGGCAGACCCTCCCCCTTTCCACCTCTCCCACTACGCTGTAGCACCCCACCCCGGCTCTACCTGAAGCAGTGTTTCCGCAAACTCAAGGCAAACCTGCCCGCCTCATATTCCACACCATTCATGAGGGATGCCTCCATCTCCGTGTCCTCGATCAGCACGGCCAGCTCACTGTCCCGCTTCCCCAGTAAACTCCGATCATTGATGTTTGCGGAGCCTGGTGGGTGGTGCGGGACACACTGCGTCCTCCTGAGCCCAGGAGACCCCATCACCTCTACCCAAGAACCAGCCTGGGGGCAACACGCCTTCTTTGGCCTCCATCCCCAGTTGGGCCTCAGCTGCAATCTCCATCACCCACCTCCATCCCGTTGCCCCTGGCTGGGCCCTGCTCCACTTCTCCCCACCCTCCTCTCATTGCCGGGGGCCGAGATCCAGCACTGACCAATGATGACTGTCCGGTCATCTGCAATGAGCATCTTACTGTGGATGTAGATGAGCTCTGAGACCGGGTGCCTACCCAGCTCTCCGTGTGTGCGAAGCCCACAGATGGAAATATAGTCCTGCCACGCTGTCCCCACTGTGAGTAAGAGATGGGGGGAAGGGGAGTGAGGTGAGAGGTACTCTCCATGTGCAGACAGAGCCCTGTCCCATCTACCTCCTCACTTCAGAAGCCCTGGTCTATATACTTCTTTCTGCAGTGTAAGGCCACCTGCGGGCTCAGGCAGTAGCCCCAGAAGCATGCAGGAGTGATAGCCTCCTTCCCTCCATCCCTGGGGCTCCAGTCCCTCAATTGCCCCCTCCCCGGGGGTCCAGGGCTTGAAACCCCAGCTCCCAGCACTCACTGGCTGCTTTGAGCCGATGTAGAATTGAATATTCCCCACGACACAGCGTCCTGAGGGAAGAGAATGGGTGAGGGAGGTGGAGACTGGGGAGGAGATGGGGGATGTCAGGAGAGAGGTGGACCTCAAAAGTCCAGCAAGAAGGGATCAGGACGGAGTCAGGATGGAGGCATAGGTAGGATGGGGCCATGGAGAGGCAGAGTCTGGCTGAGGGGGGCCCCGGGGGTCACCTGTAAGTGAAGTGCAGAATGGCCTGGATGGAGTTACCACCACCTGTGGAGATGTCGCCCTCGAACCCGGGGAGCAGGGGCAAAAGCATGTAGACTCGGAAGCACTGCCCCTGTCTGGGGAGGGGTGGAGTCAGAGGTGTGACCTCTCCCCCAAGCCCCACCCATCCAGTTGGGCTTAAACCACGCCCACAATCCTCACACTGGCTGGTCTATCTTACTTGTGGGCCTTCAGGATTCTGTCCACAATCTCATCGCCCACCTTGTTCAGCACCGTCCGTCCATCTGAGCAGCTAATGAAGAATTGATTCTGGGGCAGGGACCAATGAGAGACATCAGCAGTCCGGCCCCAGCCCCTGCCCTCAGCTCCCCGCTGCCATCCCCACCCCCAGGCTCCAGGCCCTGGCCCCAGGCTTCTGCATTTCTCCAGGCCCAGTACATCAGTCCTCAACGATTGATGCCACTGACATCCTAAGTCTCTCCCCTGGGATGTCCCCTCCATTCTCTGCCCCACCCTCACCCCGGTCAGACCTCAATGTAGAGGAAGTGCTGGCTCTCCCTGATGGTGTGCAGGTAGGCATTGAGGATGGAGTTCTCCAAGGTCCCCGCTGACCAGCGGTCCACTGACCGCAAGACCTGGGGGGGACGGCAAATATGATGTGGCTCCTGAGCCCGGGAGAGGAGGGGTCTGGCGGGGGCTCTCAGGTCAGGGAGAGTGGGCCGGGGCATTGGGCTGAAGGGAGGGAGGCGAGGGCAGGCTGAAGTCGGAGCCTCACCTGCACGGTGGCGCACTGCACTCCCGGGAGCATGAAAGGGAGCTGGTTTGCGGTGCTGGTGGACTTGGGCAGCAGGTAGGGGTACCTGGGTATCTTGTACTTGGCCTTGGTGGTCTGAGGAAGAGGGATGGCAGAGTCAGAGGGAGGTGACGAGCTGCCCCAGGCTCCCTCCCGCCCTCCAGCCTCACAGGAGGGATCGAGCACCTTGGTGAAATTCCAGCGCTGGATGAAGTGCCGGGCAAGGTCCCTGGCGGGTAAGCCATGGACCACCACCCCGACATCCCGCCATGGCATCCGGGGTGTGGTCTCCCTGTCAATGAAATCTGGGGGTCCCAGGAGAGTCAGGGGGGAGGTCAGGGATGGTCTCTTGGGGACACTTGGGGCAGAGAGGAGGAGGGTGCATTACCCTTGACCCAGTTCATCCCATCCTCAGTCCCAGCCCTGCCTTCTACCCCTGCTCCCTGCTCTCACGGGCTTTGGAGGAAGGGGACCCCTACCCTCAAAAGGCCGATCCAGCTGGACCCAGTCCTTAGTGATAAGATTGCTGTAGTCCTTGCCCAGCCAGAAGAGTTGGTTGTGAGAGAGGTCTGGTGTAGCTGGAGGGTCTGAGCATGAGGTGGGAGGCTGTAGGGGGAACACACCCAAGCCAGGGGCAAGGAGAGGTCATGGGGCTGTACAGAGCCAGGCCAAAGAGAAGAAAGGAGCACTGGGAGACTGGGAGACAGAGAGACACACAGAGTAAGAATGAAGCAGAGAGAGTTTGATTCCCCGATCCTCCCCTTCAGATGCATTTGAAATCCCTAGAGGAATGGGGGGAGGGGTGGGTAACGGACATGGGGAGGGGACTGGGTCATAGTATATTCAAAGCAGGTTCTTGGGGTCCCAGAAAGGCCAAGGAACCCTGAATGTGGGCTTGGAATGACTGGAGGGGAAGGCTGGAGCCGGGAAGGGGTGTGGATTTAGGCTAGCTGAGTTTGGGGGAGCTCAGGAAGGCCTTGGGGGGTTACCTGGGGGGAAGCTGACTCAGAGGAGTCCCGAAGGTCAGTCAGTCTGTAGTGCAGGTCATCCCAGCGGCCATAGGCGAGGTCCAGCCCCCCCAAGAAGGCCACTACTTGGTCCACCACCAGGAGCTTCTCATGATGGGCCCACAGAGTCACCTGGTTTGGGTGGCGCATCACCTGGAGCAGGTATGGGGGAGTTCAGGAGAGTGAGCTTAGGTGGGAGAAGAAAGAGGAGGCGTTGGGGGAGAGAATGGAAAGATGGAAGGATGAGATGTTCAAGAAAAGGGAGGGTTGAGGGGATGGGAAAGTGTGGTGAGGAGGGCTGCAGAGAAGGGGTCTCTGAGGCCTGAAAGTCACCTTTATGTTGGGATGCAGTAGCATTAGAACCTTCTTGCTATAGCCACTGTTGATGGCCAAGGCCAACTCCACTTCCTTAAACAGCAGTACGGACACCCGGACACCCTCCTCCTGGTGGTCAGTGAGGGAATCAGATCCTAATGCCTCTCTCGGAATGACCCCTTCCCACCCTCCCAAACCCTTCCCCATGCTCAGGATTCCTGTATATTCCTCCTCCCTGCGTGGAGATCCTCAAAGCTCTGCCACTTACACCCTGATTTGATGCTTACAGCAAACCTAGATTGAATATCATCTATCTGCTCACCCATCCACACATCTACCCACCTACCCAGCATTATCTATCCACCCATTTTCCCCAAAATTTACTCATCCCCTTATCTACCATCTATCATTCATCCATCTACCTACCCACTCTCCTACTGATCCACCTTCCCAACCTCATATCCTTCTATCTATCTCTCTTTCCATCATCTAGCCATCCATTCGCCCACCCACTCTCCATCATCCACATATCTTTCCTCCCACCCATCAACATCTATGGATGCTCCCAACATAGCAGACACTATGCCTTGTATTGGAACTAGTGATATTGATCAGCCCAGGGAGAGAGACAGACATGTCCACCCTGCAGTAACACAACAGAGTGTAATGGATACTGGGAGGAAAGTCTATACCAGGTAGAGGAAGGGCAAGAACAGGGAGGTGTCAGTTCTCCTTAGGGAAGGGGAGGCGGTGATGTTTGCCAGACACTGAGCCAGGATGGGCATATTTCCTCCTCCTCAAGTTTCAGATTCCCTGCCTTCCCCCATGCTACAGTCCCTTCTAACCAATCTCCACCCACAGGCCACCCCGCCACCATGCTTCCCCTCCAGCCCAACCACTCTCCTCACCGCCTTCTTCTTGAGCATAATGTCCAGTCTCCAGTCATCCGAACGGGCCGGACGCTTCAGGTAAATCTCAGGACTCAACCTGGGATTCAGGGCAGCGGGTAAGGGCAAGCTAAGCTCCCGACAACAGCCACTCCTCCCCTTCCACTCCTTTTCTGACCCATAAGCCGATGCGTTGCAGGCCCTATCCTACCGCTTCCTGCTCAGGCTTTTCCCCCACTTACCACCAGTCTGTGATGAAAATCTCCTCTTGAGCTCGCAGGATGGCATCAGCTGCAGCAGCAAAGTAACCTGCCCCATTCACAAACCTGGGGGAGGCCGAGCCAAGGAGGTCAGGGGAGCCAGAAGCCAGAAAGCTCCGGGGAGCGAAGCCCGGAGGACACTCACGGGCCAGGGGCGACAGCAGGGTCAAAGACCAAGAGTGCTCACAGAGGTCAGACAGTAGCAGATATACCAAAGTGGGATAAACTTGCCAGTACGAGCTAAATAAAATTACAAACTACAAAAGACACAACAAACCAAAGAAAATGACTAAAGATTGGGAAGATTAATACATCACATATAAAGAGTTCCAACATATCAATAACAAAAAGACATATAGGGGAAAAAAAAAAAAAAGACATATAGGGGGCTTCCCTGGTGGCACAGCGGTTGAGGGTCGGCCTGCCGATGCAGGGGACACGGGTTCGTGCCCTGGTCTGGGAGGAGCCCACATGCCGCGGAGTGGCTGGGCCCGTGGGCCATGGCCGCTGAGCCTGCGCGTCCGGAGCCTGTGCTCCACAGCAGGAGAGGCCACAGCAGTAAGAGGCCCGTGTACCGCAAAAAAAAAAAAAAAAAAAAAGACATATGGGCCAACTGAACAAAGAAAAGTGCTTTCACCGCGGAGGGCACGGGTTTGGTCCCTGGTTGGGGAACAGGGTCCCACAAGCCGCACAGCACGGCCAGAAAAAAAAAAAAAGAGAACTGATAGTTCACAGGGGGAAAATGGCCAATCATAGATGAAAAGATGTTCAACTTCATCACTAAACAAGGAAATTGATATTAAAATGAATAACACTTTTTAAATTCACTAGATTGGCAAAAAATAAAATTGCAGGTTACGTTCAATATTAGCATGTGGGGAAGTGAGTATTCTCATAGTTTGTGAGAATATACATTGGTTTTATAGCTTTTTTAGAGGACAGTTTGGTATTACTTATCAGAACATTAAATCCACATACCCCCGATACCATTAAATGCACTTCGTAATTCTATATCTAGGAAGAAATCCTATTAAGTGCTTAACCAAAGATTATGTTCATTGTAGTATCGTTTATAAGACTGAAAGTGGGAAATAATGTAAATGCCTAGTCTCTAACACGTGTTAAGTGAAAAAAATAAAACAGAGAGTGCATGATCTCATTTACATTAAAACAAAAAGTAACATATATGCTAAGCACATGAAAATATGCAGGAAAACATCTGGGAGAATAAATATCAAACTATCACCAGGATTACTTCTGGGGAGAAAAATGGGATTTGGGGGAGGGAGTGTAGAGAAGAACTAAGGGCCAGGGGGTAAAGGCTTGTGCAGTGAACTTTAATTTTTTTACTTAATATGTTTCCATATTGTTAGACTTTTAATAACTAACAGTCCTGTTTGATGGTGAAGAGCAGGGTCTTGACCCAGACTAGCTGGATTTGAATCCTGGTTCCACTGTTTACAAGGTGTGTGACATTGACAAGTTACTTAACTTCTCCTTGCCTCAGTTTTCTCACCTGTAAAGTGGATATAACAACTGTACCTGCTTCACGGGGCTGTTGTAAGTTCATAAACATAAAACACTCAGAATGGTTTCTGGCACACACTAAGTGCTACAAAAGTATTAGCTATGATCAGTTCTTATGTTAAAAAATAAATCTCAGGCTTCCCTGGTGGCGCAGTGGCTGGGAATCCTCCTGCCTATTCAGGGGACACGGGTTCGAGCCCTGGTCCGGGAAGATCCCACATGCCGCAGAGCAACTAAGCCCGTGCGCCACAACTACGGAGCCTGTGCTCTAGAGCCCGCGAGCCACAACTACTGAGCCCGTGTGCCACAGCTACTGAAGCCTGTGCACCTAGAGCCCGTGCTCCGCAACAAGAGAAGCCACCGCAATGAGAAGCCTGCACACCGCAACGAAGAGTAGCCCCTGCTTGCTGCGACTAGAGAAAGTGCTAGCGCGGCAACGAAGACCCAACACAGCCAAAAATAAATAAAATAAATAAGTTTTTAAAATAAATAAATAAATCAATCAATAAATCTCTATCCCACCCCTCTAGGTCGTCACAAAGCATTGAGCTGATCTCCCTGTAGGGAGGGTGGGAGGGAGGCTCAACAGGGAGGGGATATGGGGTTATATGTATACATATTGCTGATTCACTTTGTTGTACAGCAGAAACTAACACAACATTGTAAAGCAATTATACTCCAATTAAAAAAATCTCAACACCACCTCCAAGAAAAATTCTTTCCATGACTCCTCTCTGCCTATGATAAAGGTTAACCCCCTCAGCTTAGTGGGAGTGGCACTGATCAGACCCTGCGACCCCCAGACTCTTTACTGACCACTGCTCCTCACGCTGCAACAATGGTCAGTCTTTGTGGTTCCCAAACACGCTGGGCTATTTCTAGCTTCTCTGCACGGACTGCCCTTCTCCATTTTCTTTATCTTGCTAAGGTTAACCTCAGGGTTACTGCCTTCTAGAAGCCAGTCCTGACATCCTATGCTGGGGCAGATGTCCCTCCTCTGTGCTTGGTACCCTATACCTACCACCAGCGTGGCAAACTCCCATTGTTTCGGGACTGAATCACCTACTGAGTCTTATCCCTGCCACTGGACCTGGCACATAGTGGGTGCTCAGAAAATGTTTATTAAATGGACGAATAAATCAGAGACATTTGAGATCACTGAGAACAGAGAGGGTCAGTGTGGTGAAAGGAGATTAAAAAGGTCACAGGAGGTCAGAGAGGTCGGGGTCAGAGATTACCCAGTTTGGGGTTCAGAAAGATCAGAGGGGAATCAGAGGGATCAGCATGATTAAACAGGTCAGGGGGTCAGGGAAATTTGAGAAGTCAAAGGGGGAGGTTATTGAGGTCAGAAGGGGTCAGAGGAGATAAAGAGGATCAAGGACTCAGAGAAACCAAGGAGGTCGAAAAGGCCACTGACGATTTCAGAAAGGATGTCAGTGTCTCACCACCGGGCCAGGGTCCCAGGCCGAGGTGGAGCGTAGCTTTCGTGCCGGTGCATCTGTACAAAGTCTCTGCCCGGGCCATGGGCCAGCTCAGCGATCTCCTGGGCCCACCACCGTGCCTGCCGGTAGCTGCTGCACTTGAGAATCAAGGACCTGGATGGGAACAATGGGTGGACCACAGTCCTCACCCTCCACACCTCTGGCCTGGCCCAGAAACCTCCCCTTTAGCTATCACCTCTTTCCTACCTCTTCCCTTAGTCCCTACTTGACTTCACAGGGACAGGGAGTGTATCTGCCTTATTCACAGTTGGGTCCGTAGCACCTAGTATTGTGCCAGCCACTTAAGTTTGTTTTTTTGTCTTTTTGGGGGTTTTTTTGGCCATGCTGCACTACATGTGGGATCTTAGTTCCATGACCAGGGATCAAACCTGCTCCCCTTGCAGTGGAAGCATGGCATCTTAACCACTGGACCACCAGGGAAGTCCCTTAAGTTTGTTGAATGAATAAATGGATGAATGCAGTGCCCTATCTTTTGCACCAAAAGTCCTTCCCCCAGGCTTATACTCAACTCTCTTTCTCTGCGCCCAGCCTCTAAGAGCAGCCCCAAGCATCTGACTAGAACAGTTCTCTGGTTCCAAATCATGGCCGGCTCCAGGGAGGTGGGAACGCCTTCCTTTCTTCCATGGTCTCTTCCACTTAACTCCCCTTAGGGCCCCAGGCTGGCTCTTCACTCACCAGGTGTCTGTCCACACCAGGGAGGCCTTACCTGTGGGAGGTGTCGATCCGGACCCCGTAACGTGCCTCTGTGCTCCTTTTCCCCACCTGCACCTCGAAGCCAGGGTCGAAGAGCTGAACAAATGTGATGGTGCCGGTCTCGAGGCACATGTACAGCAGGAAGGAGTCCTTCACCACCAGCCACCTGGAGTGGAAGGGCTCTGACCATTCCTCCATGCCCCTGGCATCTCCTTCCTCACCCCCACCCACTGCCCAGCAGCTCTGCTCAGGCCTCACCGCTTGGACCAGCGATAACAAACTTGGTCTCGGCCACAGCAGGTGAGGCCAGGAACACGGTGGCCACCTGAGCGCTTCCGGATCACCCCCTCCCTGTGGGGAACACCAGGAAGAGATGTTGGATGAGGCTGGATGAGGGATCCAGACCTCCAGCCCACTGTGCACTGCTCTTTCCCTATTTTCAGCCAGGGAGAGATCCAGATATTGGCAGATGGCGGGTGAGGGGTGTCAGACACTCACAGTCCTTTGGATCCAAGGTCTGGGATAAAGGACAGCTGACTGACTTCCAGAAACTCTGTCTGCAGAGGAAGAAAAAGGCTCAGAGGAGAGACTCTTATTTTCATCCCCTCAGACTCTACCGACCCTGGTCCTCTGCTCCCTGCTCCATCTCAAGAGACCTGGCACCAGCCTCTTGACCTTACCATGGCATGGTAGTTGCGGTAGAAAGACATGGTCAGGAGGCGGTTGAGGTAATTCTCCAGGTATTTCTGAAGTAGCGATGGGAAAGAGGGAGAGACAGATGGGACCAGAACCATTTGCACCCAAACACCTTCCCAGAGGACCTGGTGTCCGGTCCCACCTGTTTGCTGGATGCATGTCTGGCGGAGCCCTCAGGACCTGCTCGGGGTAGAGAGGGCATCTGTCTGTTGTTTGCCTCTTGGGTTGGAGAATAAGCAACGGCAAAGCTGTGGAAGTGATGGGGGAGGGTCAATAGGAGGATGGGAGGATGGGTGCCTAGGTTCCTGAAGCACTGGAGGTGGGGTCTTGGAGGAGGCGAGCGGCTGGCAGAAGGAATGCCCCTTACCCTGAGGATGGAGACAGAAAAGGTGGGAGGCTGCCAAGGGTACTTTGGGCATCCAGCCCTGCTGAGATACTGGCCCAGAACCATGGACAGGGAGAGCTGAGCAGGGAAGGTTTCCTGGTAACCGGGGTCAGAGGAGCAGGCCCAGTGGCCAGAGTTGAGGGAGGAAAGCAGCTGGGGGAGGAAAGGCTGTGGTCTGGGGATGAGACAGACGTAAAGCAGCAATGGGGGCTGGGGCAGTGACATCCCATGCTGCCCCGCGGTGAGGGGGCACCTGCCCTTCACAGGAGGCAGTCTTGTCCCCCTCACCGAGCCAGAGGGAGCAGACTCATCAAGACTTTGTGTCTCAGGAGGTCCCGATGCAATTCCTGGAAATGACGGAACTTCTTCTTGGTTGTCCAGGTAAAGTCACCGTGAGTCAAGCGGACAGAATACAGAGTGCAGGTGCCCACCTGGGGGAGTGAGGAACTGACTGAATGGATGTTCCCTGGTTGGGTGGCAGCCCCCACTCTGGCCAGCCCTCCCCTTAGCCCCCTCCCTGGTGCCAGCCCAGCCACCTTGGATCCACTGGTGTATCTTTCAGTGCCCACCACCTGGGCTATGACGGGAACCCCAGGGGCAAACACCAAGGGGTGAATTTTCAGAGGCTGGAGGTCGTAGATGGCCAGAAAGGGGTGCATCCGGTCAGCTGACAGGAGAGAAAGTGGAAGAATGTGGACTCCAGGAGGTCTCAGCCCCCTCCTCCTCCTCTCCCTGAGGGCGTCCTCCCTGTGTACCTGAGTCCTCTCCCTCCTTCAGAGTGTCCACCTCATCGGGCTCCATCTGTAACTGTCTGGAGTCCAGGTCACCCCCAGAGGGGAAGAGGCTCTCGGAGGTCGCCGCCATCCTAGGAATATGGGGAGGCCTCAGGAAGGTGACCTGCTTTGCAGAACCCTGCCCCCCCATCGCACCCCACGGTCTTCCATCTCCCACAGGTCCCCCGCTACCCCCCACCTGGCTCCCGCTGACTCCCCGTCTCTCTGATTATGGCTCATCGGTCTGCAACGTCCTGCCAACCCGCCTCTAATCTCCATCCCCTATCTCGATCCTTCCTGCATCCAGAATGCCTGAGTCCCGTCTCCCGTCCCGTAACCAGGGTGCCGAGGAACACCCGGCCAGGCCCGGATGGCCCCGAAGTGGGGCAGAGCAGAAGCCAGGGGAGGGGCCCCGGGGGTTGCCAGGGGTCCCGAGCCACCGGGGCTCCAGCCAGGCCAAGCCAGCTGGAAGAAGGGGTCCAGGCGGGAATGAGGAAGTTACGCGTTCCTCGCCCGGGAGGGAAACCCCGAACTCTGAGCATGAGGCTGAGTCAGGAGGACCCGCAGCCCAAGCTCATTCCCCTCCCCGCCCGATTTCCTGGGCCCGGCACCTCCGCGGCGCCTCCTCCCCGGCCCCCTCACCCGGGCAGCCAAGCCGGCGGCAGCGCAGCAGAGTCAGAGCGGGAACCCACAACCCAGAGGGCCAGGGCGGGGCGGGCGCTCAGGGCCTGCCCTTGGGGGCGGGACGGCCCCCGGCCTCACCTCCTCCGGATTCTCGTCGGTCCTGTCCCGCCCCCGCCGCCCTCGGCCTGTCCTTGCAGTCCTGCGTGCGGCCTGGGCGCTGGGGCCGCCCTCGGCTCTGCGGGACGGCGCTACCCTCCCCGTGCATGGGTGCGGCGCCGTCTGCCGGGCTGTCAGTCTGTCCCGCGCCGTCGGTCCGTGCAGGCCCGCTCCTCCCTGTGGGCCCTCGGCCCTGCGCACCCTCCTCCGCTCGGGCGCCGGCCCCCCCGGGGCCTCTCCGGCCACCGATCCCGCCAGGGCCCCTGGCGGGACGCGCCTCCGCGCCAGGGACCTGGCTGTGTCCCCTTCCCGGGCCGGCTGAGAACCGCATTGGCATTTGTAGATGGAAGGAATGACGAAAGGCCCGAGGGCTGGTGGCCGCAAATTCATTAACGTACGCAAGCTTGCATTCTTTCATTCATTCACTTACTGCGTACTTGCTCCGCGCCAGAGTCTGAGCATACAGTAGTGAACAAAACTATCACGGGACTTGCTCTTCTGAAACTAACAGTCTAAGGGGAAACAGGAAAAATTTCAGGTTCTAATAGACAAAATATTTCATTTTTTTTTAAAGTAGATTTCTTTATCTCTTTTAGATGGAAGAGTGGGTTGATGGATATTTCTTCATGGACATTTGGGTTGTTTCTAGTTTTTGCCTGCTGCGAATAAAGCTCCTATAAACACTCCTGGGTAAGTCTTTGTGTAGCAATATGTTTTCGTTTCTCTTGGGTAAATAGCTAGGAGTGGAGTTGCTCCATCATTTTAACTTTTTAAGAAACTAGCCAAACTTGTTTGATCTCTAATTGCACACATTTATATAGAGGCAGGGTGAAGAAAGTGACAAATAAAGGCTATTTTTAAATGGTCATTAAAAAGCACTTTTTAAACAATAGATCTTCATTGGAGTATAATTGCTTCACAATACTGTTAGTTTCTGTTGCACAACCAAGTGAATCAGCCACATGCGTACACATGTCCCCACATCCCCTCCCTCTTGAGCCTCCCTCCCATCCTCCCTATCCCACCCCTCTAGCTCATGGCAAAGCACTGAGCCGATCTCCCTGTGCTCTGCTGCTTCCCACCAGCCAACTATTTTACATTCGGTAGTGTATATATGTCGATTCTACTCTCACTTCGCCCCAGCTTCACCCTCCCACCCCAAGTCCTCAAGTCCATTCTCTATGTCTACCTCTTTATTCCTGCCCTGCAACTAGGTTCATCAGTGCCTTTTTTTTTTTTTAAGATTCCATAGATATGCATTAGCATATGGTATTTGTTTTTCTCTTTCTGACTTACTTCACTCTGTATGACAGACGCTAGGTCCATCCACCTCACTACAAATAACTCAATTTCGTTCCTTTTTTGGCTGAGTAATATTCCATTGTATATATGTGCCACATCTTCTTTATCCATTCATCTGTCAGTGGACATTTAGGTTGGTTCCATGCCCTGGCTATTGTAAATAGTGCTGCAATGAACATTGTGGTACATGTCTCTTTTTGAATTACGGTTTTCTCAGGGTATATGCCCAGTAGTAGGATTGCTGGGTCATATAGTAGTTCTATTTTCAGTTTTTTAAGCAACCTCCATACTGTTTTCCATAGTGGTTGTATCAATTTACATTCCCACCAACAGTGCAGGAAGGTTTCCTTTTCACCACACCCTTTGCAGCATTTATTGTTTCTAGATTTTTTGATAATGACCGTTCTGACCGGTGTGAGGTGATACCTCATTGTAGTTTTGATTTACATTTCTCTAATAATTAGTGATGTTGAGCATCTTTTCATGTGCCTCTTGGCCACCTGTATGTCTTCTTTGGTGAAATGTCTATTTAGGTCTTCCACCCATTTTTTAACTGGATTATTTGTTTTTTTGATATTGAGTCACATGAGCTGCTTGTATATTTTGGAGATTAATCCTTTGTCTGTTGTTTCATTTGCAAATATTTTCTCCCATTCTGAGGGTCGTCTTTTTGTCTTGTTTATGGTTTCCTTTGCCGTGCAAAAGCTTTGAAGTTGAATTAAGTCCCATTTGTTTATTTTTGTTTTTATTTCCGTTACTCTAGGAGGTGGGTCAAAAAAGATCTTGCTGTGGTTTATGTCAAAGAGGGTTTTTCCTATGTTTTCCTCTAAGAGTTTTATAGTGTCTGGTCTTACATTTAAGTCTTTAATCCATTTGCAGTTTATTTTTGTGTATGGTGTTAGGCAGTGTTCTAATTTCATTGTTTTACATGTAGCTGTCCAGTTTTCCCAGAACCACTTATTGAAGAGGCTGTCTTTTGTCCATTGTATGTTCTTGCCTCCTTTGTCGTAAATTAGGTGCCCATATGTGTGTGGGTTTATCTCTGGGCACTCTATCCTGTATCATTGGTCTATATTTCTGTTTTTGTGCCAGTACCATACTGTCTTGATTACTGTAGCTTTGTGGTATAGTTTGAACTCAGAGAGCCTGATTCCTCCAACTCTGAAAAAGCACTTTTTAAATAAGTGAAATATTTTAAGATAGGGGGTAAAAGGAACTGCCAAACTGTTTTCCAAAATGGTTGTTGTGTTTTACATTTCCAAAATCTATGTATGATAATTCCATTTGTTCTGCAGCATGGCCAACGTTTGATATTGTCTATCTTTTTAGTGTTAGCCATGCTAGTAAGTGTAAAATAGTACATCATCATAGTTTTATTTGCATTTCTCTGATGACTAATGATGTTGACCATGTTTCATGTGCTTATTGACCATTTTTATATCTCTTTTTAAGTGTTCAATTCTTTCACTAATTTTTTTAAAAACCATGTTATTTGTCTTATTATTGATTTGTAAGAGTTCTTTATATATTTTGGATACAAATCCTCATCAGATATATGTATTGCAAATATTTTCACCCAGAATGTGCCTTGTTTTTTTAAAATAATGGTGCCTTTTGGGAATTCCCTGTTGGTCCAGTAGGACTTGGCTCTTTCACTGCTGGGGCCCAGCCACTCAGCATGGCCAAAATAAATAAATAAATAAAATAACGGTGCCTTTTGAAAAGCAGAGGTTTTTTATTTTGATTAATTTGTGGCCTGTAGACTATTACTCAGCAATAAAAATGAATAAAGGGGG